ATAAAATGACCACACTTTTGTAAAGCTAATAACAGAAACAAGCACAGAGTCTCCTGCTGTCTTAATGTCTCACTGTACAAAGAGCACTAAACATTAGAGTCCGCCAACTTCACCTGTGTTCCTTGAAAGTAAAAGTGGCTTTTACTTTCCTCTTCTTGAATGACAGTCTGGCATAATTGCTGGCATCTGCAGGTCAAGCCACTTCTGGCTTTCTGGTTCTCCATCTTCAGTCAGGTCCGCACTCTTCCAGGGCTGAAGTGAAAATATCCCCCTACCGCAAAGGAGCCTGGCAATCATGAGTAGAACATGGATTCTAGTGGCACCAGATAACGCAATCCTCATGCATTTACAATCTTGTCTGTGAAAACACTACTGGGTTGGCGACAACCATATGTGAGCACTCTCTTGACTTGTGTTGATAATCCTTCGCTCCTGCTCCTGCCTTATTAACTGCCAGTTTTCCTTTCTCCCTCACACCTGAAGAAGGCTCCACAGCGGAAACGTTGTGTATCTTTTATTTTCAGCATGAAATAAACATTTACCTATTCCTATGCAGCTTACGCATGCTGGTGCAGCTCCCTACTTGAACAATATTAATGTTGTGTTTATCTAATGATGCATTAAGATAGGTTGAAATTTACTTTTCAATAAAAATAGTGTAATAAAGCAATTTTCTGTGTTTTGCTGCATTCTTATTTCCTGGATGGTTTGTGTTCACACTGCTGAACATATTGTTTGTGTGGGCTGATCCTAGGCTAATTGATTTGCTTGAAAAAGAGCACACCCAAGAGTGTCTATCTGAAAGCTGACTGTTCTCACTAACAAACTTTGTTTTCAGGTATGCAGTTATACTCTTCTATTTATGTAAACCTCTTTATGTGAATGTCAAGACATCTTAATGTTTACATTATCAATGAGTGGAGCCACACTGGGTTTTCTGAGCACCCCCAAGGGAGTTCTGCCTCTGATTTGAAAAAAGTACAAAATTACAAAAGTAACGTTTGCTTTAAATAAAATCTTCCTGCTGGTTTGAGAATACTTTGGCTGCTGCTTTTATGCCATGATGCTAGCAGGAGGCTTTGATAATAATTTGGATGATATGCGCAACAATGCAAAAATGCTAGACTTTAGACATTATTCTTTCCTTCTAACATGATGTATGACCCTATTGAATAATGAATGAAACTGGTGCATGTACTGTTTCATTTCATTGGCGTTGTGAAGATAGAAATCATTTTCATTGTATTTTAAAGACCTTGTTCATAGCCTCCAGGAGTTACAATGTAAGTATATTTAATACCCATTTTTTGAGTTCTTCCATTATTTATTTTGCTAGGAGGTCATAGCACATGGTTTTAGCACAACTAATATCATAAAGGCTGATTGGATATATTTAAGTATATGTAATTTTGTAGGGAGGACACCGTTTATTTACCTGCTTTAGCTAATTGTTCCATGTATTTCATCCAGTTGTCTCTTGAAAAAAGCAGGGAAATAATTATGGCATATTTCACTTCACTTCCACTTGATTAGCCATATATAATTTCGTCCATGAGGAATTTGTCTTTTCGCATACCCCAGCTTGCTCTCCTATTCATTGAAGGGATCAATCTGGAATAAATTCTTTAGTAATTATGTTGAGTTCTTTCCTTAAGTATTAAAATGCATTAATTAATTGAATTAATTTTTCTTTTTCAGTGCCACACACATTCCCTATGTGAAATAGTGTTTTTTCCACTGAGCTGTAGAACTCTCCTTAACCAGTTTCCTCCTTCCAGGGTGTTTAGTTTTGAGGGGCAGTTTGTTGTTTGCAATGTCTGGGTGCCTTCCACTTCCTAATGATCAACTTTGTCACACTTAAAGAGATATTAAGGCTCTGTGACATGTTTTATACCCTCACCCTTATCTGTGCCTTTATACAACTTTTAAGTTCCCTGATCTTCATGGTGGAAATTCACTACCTGATAGAAGGACCTCCCTGAGATAGGTGTATTTATTCTGTATTTATGTGTTAAAGCAAATAAGACACAGGACATAGAAATATAAAGAAATATATTTTCATATGAAGCGTACAGATGAATAACTGATGAAGAAAGCAAACTAATAAAAAAAATATAAGGGGAAATCAGACAGCTCCAAGGACAATCAAAACAGAATAATGCCTCATATTTTAATTCAAGGAAATTATAAAGGAGGATGGTTTAGACAAACGTTGATAGCCACTGAAGGCCAAGGGAAGTGCTTATACAGCAGAGAAATATAACATTGAATAATGAATGGTGAATAAACAGACAGTGATGGATCACAGAGCACCGCTTTCCTGGGATTCTGTAGGACAACACATGTGATGTAACTCCCTTGTCTGTTTCATAATGTGCCCCATATCCATTTCCTCATTTAGCTTCTACACACATAGAAATACAACCATACCGTATGTATTGTCAATACAAGACGTCCTGCAATTTTCTGTAGTATTCAGTAAATATGAACCTGTGATGTTTTTTTAAATATATCATAAAAATGAAAAGCTATACATACTTAATATGAAACTAGTTATACACTTTTAAAACTAAAAAATGGCATTTAAGAAATCCTTGTATTTCTTAATTGAAATAGTGCTGAGGGTAAGAGGTTGAGTTATTTTACATTTAAATCAATTTCTGCAGAAACACAACCCTACAATTATTAAAATAAATACAGTCCTTGTAATATTCTTTTTGTGTCAGACACTAAATACAGAAATAGCAGCAAAAAAAGAGGTTTATCTCAAATACCTTACAGAAACATTCCTGACATTTATTAAGAACCTCTTACACATGTTCATATAGCTAAATCATTAACATCTACTGGGGAATATGAAATTTCAGATGTATTTTGTGCCAGGTTTATATCTTGTCTTCTAAGTGAAATGGTATAGTGTTAATCCATGTGTTATGGGATATGAAGGATACAATTCAAGTTATTTATGTTTTCTAATGTGTGATAAAGTATAAAAGGTTGGGGATAAAGTATAAAAAGTAAAATTTAATCTGTGATTACAAATAAAACAAATAATAAAAAATAGACAATAGCTTTCTCTCTTGTACCAAATGCTGTTTTCAAAATGGAGTTATCCAAGTAGCAAATGCCATGTTATTTTGCAAATACTATAATTCTGTAGGGTAATTGTAGGAATGTTTCAACTCACGGGTTATGCTTCCTTGTGTTTTGATGGATTAAACATTTTCATCTTTGACTCTGTAACAAAAAGCCTTACATATATCTCAAAATAAAATCTAGATATAGGTAGCCGACTACATCACCTAGCAACTTTAAGGGTCCTTTTACCACTGTAACTGGTTCTTTATATCTACCATAAATAGCAGGGCTCTCACAGGCCATCAACTGGCATTAGTGTTGCATAAATTCCCCTCTCTAGTGAATACAGCACTCCCCATTGTCTAAGAGAAAACACATAGCCCACAACAGACCAAAAATCTCCAAGGGATACATTCTTTTACCAGAGGTTCCTTTAGGTAAAAAAGGAAACGTCCCATTAAAGTCCTTTTTAGCTATACAAAACAAGTATATTTAATTCATTAAAGTAGAAAACAACACATAGTCTACACTAGTCCCTGATGGGAAAAAGAAGCAAGAGCAAAAAAAGATGCCACACAGTCCGATCTCCCCAGTCTCTGCAATGCTGCAATGGCCGGGCTATACTGGAAATCCTCCTGCAGGTCCTGCTCTGTTTCACCTCTGTTGTCTCAGTACCAGCTCTCCAGGCCAGGTCCTTTGCTCCTTGTCCCAAGAAAATTGAAGTTCCAGCACAGTGCCTAAGTTATGTCATTAAGACCTCCTTTAGTATGTAGTTCTTGCAATTACAAATGTTCCTCTCTCCTGAGGTCTCTTGAAAAGAGGCTTCCCTTGCTCTGGCTGTCTTGCATAGAGGGGTCTGCATGAGGAAGAGAGTTCTGTATCTGTCCGGGTCCAGGTTTTTATATCTTTTTTGGCCAGCCAATCTCACTCTGTGGGGGTCTGCCATTCTCACTGGCAGGGGCAGGTACATCCAGGTGATTAAAGGAAGAAACTCAGCAATATGGGATTTTTTGAGAACTGTCAGATTTCCAGGTGTCCTGGAGCCCTCTCAATCATTTCTTTCCTTTCTTGCCCACTCTTCCCACTTACAGTACATCTGTCAATACTTAAAATGTAAATGAGTTATGTCTGAGGAAACATTATGCTATTCAGTCCTAATTGTTACCTGCCCCCCGTCTACTGCTGAAGACGTTGATTAAGGAGAGGAAAAACACAAACTCCTATACTCACAAAATCACTATTACTAAATGCAAACTCAGTCACAGCCCTTAACGCTTTGTACCTTTTTAACTGTCGTCACTCTGTGACATATACAACGTCTTAACCAACAGACTGCTAGAGTAGTTACAGCATCCTCAAGACGTGAGTGCATACGTCATTCTGTCATGTCCCAGCCAACGTAAAGACAGATTCGTTTTTTTTCCCTCTATGTGTAATCTACAGTTTGTTTAATGTTGAAGAGACGATAAGTTTGAGATGTGCCGCGATTCGGACCACACTGAACAGGAATGCTATTCACAGCGATTAAACTCCAAAGTTATCGGTATCTTTTCTTGGAATTCTAACTCGGCAATAGAAAGCTAAAGGTTGTCTGGAACTTAAAAGTTCTCCAACATTCTCTCATCAGATATATTAAATTTGGATAGTTTTATGTTTTATATTAGTAATTCTTCTTATTCGTAATTTTAATGTATTACACCCTCTGGGCTGAGCATCACAGGATGCTGCAAACGAGAACACCTGTTATTAACTGGACTATCGGGAATTGGGATGCTCAGTATCCAGTATCATTGATGAGATGACTGCAAAACAGACAAATGTCCTTAATTTAATGTTAGTCGAGACTGATTCATTGAATATTTGATATAACAATTGCATTGCAGCAACCTTACACTAAATTTCAAAAGTCTTTGTAGAAATCCTCAACGTAACAAAAATAAAAAAAAACTGTTTCTCTTTCAAACTGACACGATACATCAGTATTATTTTTTAACATAATCTAAAACGCTCCCTTAATGGATCCTCTTTCAAATTGATGCGGACTTTAAGGAGCATACATACTGTATATACCATTTTTCTTATTTGACAATAACATTATTTGCTTTCAAGATAAAGCGTTGTCTGGATGAAGAACTCGCACAGCTAACTGATCTTTTTATATTTATCCAAGGATATAATTTCTTGTGTTAACGAAACGAATCAGAGGCTGTGAACTCTTTGATTTTCTAGCTGCGGAACGCGAGTATGTTTTTTGAAGTAAGTAATCTCAATCACAGCTTCAATCTGAGCGGAGAAGATCCATTTTCATCTCTCGACCAAGAATGGGGCGAAGGGTCAGAAGAGAAATTATCCAGGACAGGACATACTGTGGTGTCTGTGTTTTTGGGATCTATTCTGATTTTTGGGTTCTTTAATAACCTAATCGTGCTCGTCCTATTCTGCAAGTTTAAAACTCTGAGGACACCCGTGAACATGCTTCTGTTAAACATCAGTGTGAGTGACATGCTCGTCTGTGTCTTTGGCACCACACTGAGTTTCGCTTCGAGTATCCGAGGAAGATGGTTAGTAGGAAAACAAGGCTGCATGTGGTATGGCTTTATCAATTCCTGCTTTGGTGAGTATAGATAAAAACACTTAATATAGAGTCAGTTTATTTACTCGACAGAACAGATGCATTCTCTTCTCTGAAATTAGCACTGCACCAGAAGGTAATTGTACTGTTTGGATAAAGGAAATTACACATGTACCTTGTAAAATTAAAGGACAATTACTGGAAATTTGAAAGATGTATTGATAAAATCAGATTGTATATAAGCGATAGAATAAATCACGCTGTGTTTTTATTTTTGTTGTTTCTTTTTGTTGTAACAAAACGCGGGTTTCGGATAATTTATTTCAAGCGGAGGAAAGAAAAAAGTACTCTGGATGATGATGTTATTTGTAAAAGGCTACGTAGGACACCGTTTTCACTCTATGTACAGTCATCAGGACAAAATGCAGCAAAGCAATCATTTTAATGAGTTTCCCCCCATAATTCAAATGTGTCTCAATGCAGTTATTGACTTCAGTCTGGTTATAACCAGGTGGCCTAAAATCAAACCATGTACAATGAAATCCCATGAGATAATGTACTTTTGTTCATGTTGTGCTTTTGTAAAACGTGGATTTAGCCGCGCAAATGCACTGATAATGTTGAGCCGCAATGCAACGTTCAGAAAGCCTCGAGTCAGAAGCATGTCCAGATGGCATGTATTATTGTAATAGCACTAGTATTACAACAAAGATTTAATATGTTTTCGTGTTGGAATGTATGTGTCAAATAACTGCATGTATGTAAACATGCAATATGTTTAAGGTATGTTATAATTGAATAACGATAAAACACCAATTCTAACATCAATAATTGAATTAGTTCAACTTGTAGCTCAATGTTTCTAGAACAGTTGTGAACAGCGGTTCACAAGCCTAGCCTCGGAGATTTGTATTCAATGTGAACTCGAATTCTTCAGCGCAATAATTTTATTTTCTTTGGAAACGGAGTGTCATAAATACGGTTTCACACAGAACGGAATTTGACGCGACCTTTCCTTGCCTCAACCTGTTATTTCTGACGAAACAGCTCTTGGTAATGGATTAATTCAAGATGAAAAAAGCAGGCAATAATGGTACTGTGTCGGGCACTCTCGCGGCGTTTTTGCTTTTTACACACCTGAATGAGGGCAGTTCTGAAATTCAGAAACTGGTACAGGGCAGATACCAACTGCCCGTTCCAAATCCCATTTGAGTTTTTAAGAGCTGAAAGCAAATTTACAAATATCCTCCAAATAGAATACTGAAATGAATTAGCCTGTGATTAAGAAGTCAGCTGGACCAGAAGCAGAAAACAGTGTTCTTTTGGGACAAGGATTGGAAACCACTCTACTACTACTGTACATCAAAGGAGTATTGTTTATTTTACTCTCAATTTCAGCCTTGCTTGTGAGCATGTTTCATACAGCAAAGACACTCTATTAGAAAGTCCATACTTTTAAGACATCTAAACAAATATTCCTGGCAAAGTAAGAAATCTGTTCTGAATATAGACCACCACATGCCAGGGCTCCAGGAATTTACTTTTTACAAGCATTTGTATAATCTGTGAAGTCAATTCTAACAATTAATATTTCAGTTGCAAGGTGTGTAGTGGTATTTACTTTCAGCCAATTCAATTGAAACACTCAGTAATTCACAGTAAAGAATTACGTGTTGGAGCATGAATTTATTTCAACCTAAAGGGCAAAGAAGCAGCATTTCCATCGTCTCCTAGTTGATGTGATAGTGCTCTTTAATTATACTAGAACAATAATTTTATAATAAACCTTTCTTGGCTTGACATTTTAAAACATTTTGTGATGTTTTATTTTATAAGTGCCTTATTCTGAAATCACACATTGTTTCTTTACTTCTAAGTACAGCAACGAGTCCTGTTCTACACAGGGAGATTGCAAAGACAAACGTGCATCTCGGACCCTTTCCATATGAAAAGACAAAGAAAAATATTCCACGATGTTACCAGTTGTAACATAAATATTGAAACCGATTTACATAAAGTCCCAGGAAACCTTATTAAATTTAGATACCAAGTGGCAAACAATTGTGGTAAACTGGACTCCAAACTAGACAGTTTTTAAATACATATATTCATGCCGTCATCAGATGTTATCTACATTTTTAAAATCTCAATGTTTTTTTCAACATCAGGGTGCTTTTGTTATCAGTTCTGTCTACACTTTAATTTAATTTAATTAATTAATCTTTATTTGTTATATTTTAGTAAATATTCCTTAGGACAGACAGACTGAGGACATACCTTCTGAATCAAAATCTCAGTTTGCATAAAATTGATATATTTTTATGTTAATGATTATTATAGTTAATAGTATAATAATAATCTGTATACATGTTATGGGTACTATATATGAAAAACAGCTTTGAATACAATAGTTCAACATGCTGCTGCCTGTGAAAGGAATCTCACTGTCATTCTCCGCATGTGAGAAAATTGGACTGATTATAAATGCTTTCTATGAACGATGCCTGACGAGCTGTAATTAATTCAGTATTCATTCTATTCACTGTCTCTTAAGAACGTATTCACAAGCTAGTAAATCATAAAACAGGATTTTTGCTGGTTGTGATGGCTTTAGGCAAGGTCTCTAAGAACTGCAGTTGTTCATTTTTCAAAATTAGCTGTGGGTCATGTAAAGCATTAATAATGAGAGAATTAATATAATTACATGACAAAGCATAATGTTATCAACTTTTACAAACCGAAGCCCTCTGTTTTATCAATTTTGAAACAAACTTTTATCTTCCACTCATTTTGCTTTTTTGTGGGAAGCACTTTGTGGCTGGAGCGTTCTTTTCTTAGTTCAAGAAAAAGTTATTCATAAGGAAAAATGTTTGGTGTTTCGTATGTTAAAAATTATATATGTATAATTGGTTTCAGAATAAAAAATGTTGCTTTAGTTTCATGGTTGCAGCTTAATTTTCGTGAGTTTAAACTCGGTTAATAAATGACTAAGATTGGGTAATATATTGTTTTTCTTTTCTTACAATATAAGAGTCACTTTTATTTTAAGGTTTCAACAATAAAATGGTGGTATTTTTATTTGAGCCATCAATCTGTTTAGCAACGCCTTACAACTTTTTCTGACTATGAGACATAGGAAAGTAGTTTACATAAAATATTGATTCATATTGCTCTTAGACTTTCAAAACTAAATTTTTATCTAAAATCTTTTTCTGCCTCTGCCTGTTACCATCGGTGTGGTACACTGTAGTATTATACACATATCTGCTGCTGCAGCTAGGTAGTACTGTATATAAGTTGCATTTTTAATTCTTCCTGTCTTCCTTTGTTCATTGGTAGCCAGCAAGGTGACCTCAAAAAAGCTTGCAGCAGATTGTGTAAGTGGCTTTGAAATGTCAGAATGCTTTTAAGTCATGCCATATAAAGCATAATCATAGTACTGAGATCTGATCTTTGTTCTGTAATACCCTGTGGGGTTTTCAGTCAGTTCAATCACAAAATAAAATTGCTTCTCAAATGCTTGTAAATAGTGAGGCATCAAATGTATTAAATATTTCCACCTTTAAGCAAGAACACCTTTTTTTACTTAACTAAAGAAAAATAATGCATTGAAAAAAACAATCTGTACAAAGTTATCAAAGGTTTAAAGATGTTATAGCCACCACAAATGTCATTAGTTGTACTAACGTCTTTTCTTATCTTGTGTTATTTATACACGTTTTTAATGTTCTGGAAGTTTTAAAATGCCTTACATATAAGGATGTGTATATACTGTGACCTTTTCAGTTTGGCAAGGCTAAGTTTGGAATTACGAATTCAAAGTGCAATTAACAGGGAAATCAGAAAAAGGTGTTTCAGTATTTTTAGAATTTACTTTTCAAGATAAACCTGATAACATTTACAGTATGTAGTACAATTTCAAAACTAGACAAGAATCAGAGTACTAAGGCACAGTGTCAAAAAGGACGTGTTAATGGTAGGGAGATGAATGGGTAGGAAATAAAAAAAGTATACCTGCATATGTAGATTTAATTTTAATAAAACTTAAAATTTTACAACATAAAAATATATGGATATATGAATATGATGATATTTATAGATATGTATCTTGCCAAATGGTCTCATGGAATTAATTAATTTTAAGGTGTTGTGTAAAGGAAACACACATATTTTTTAGAAATGTGACTATATATATATGTACAAGTCTATGTATATATCCTCTGAAAATGATTGTCAATCTGTAATACTCTTCCATAAGAGTGTACATTTTCTGGCACTTCTGAGAATGTTCGTGGTGGAAAGATGAAAAGCAAATGGAAAAAATAAAGAAAGGATACAAAAAGCAACATTTCAGCACTGTGTCTCCTAGTTTCCTTCTCTTTTATTAGGTTTATTGTATGCAATGTAAATTACATTTTTATAATCTTAAAATTTAAACATATTAACTGATTCCTATAGATTTATCAATTGAAAAGTGCTATTTCACTTTGAATATTATGCTAATACTGTTGAACATATATTATTATTATTTTTTTTTTAATTCTGCAGAAATTCTAAAATACCTTGAAAACTCCAAAGTCTTGGATGAAAACTGATTAAATTAGGTCAAGGAAGGATTGTAAAAGCAGATTGGAAATTGTGTCACAGTAAACATTATACTGTACCTTATGGGTTACATGGTTTGATGGCCATATTGGGTTTTTCACAAAAGTTTGGGACTTTTCAAAATTCCTCTTCTCTAAAACTACAGAAAGGACAGATTTGAAACTTGAAAGATTCTTACTGTTACGGACAGGGTTTGCATTCCGTGTCGGGTTTTGTTGTAGACCCTATGTGATGCAGTAAAAGCTGGAGGAAACAGGAGGCGTGGTATGGGAAAACACACAGGGGTTTAATGGTGCACAAAATAATAGTGACAGTCGGGGAGACAGTGAACAGGGGAGACAAAGAATGGCGTTCAAATCATAGCATGTCCAAAGGAGGGTCAGGGCACAGTCCAAGAGTCCATTTACCATAGATCCATCCTGAGATATGACAAGATTAAAATCCCCCGAAATGGAGAAAGCACGAACAGAAAACCAACATGGAGATCCTGGGATAACGGGGCTCAGAACACGTGAGGTGTCGGGGATGAGGCCTATGCCTTCAGGAGACGGACGCCGGGTATCCTCGTGCTAGGCGGACCTAGTGACTTCCGTACCCTAATGTTGAGCCCAGAGCCCTGGATGAGCTAAGAATAAATAGGAAGAGACACAACAAGGCACACCAAGGCACACCTATAAACAATCCCAGGGAACTATTGACATGAGTAAAATGGAGAACCCTCTAGGGGAGGGATGTCAACTGCAATAGTTACCCCATGTCCGAGGTTTAGTCTTCTTCAGGATAGTTCAGTTTGTAATATCAGTTGGTTGACACTGTATTTGAAAAAAAAAATAATCTTGATTTTTGTTAATTAATTAATTGCTTACACTTATATAGCGCTTTCCTGGACACTCCACTCAAAGCGCTTTACAGGTAATGGGGACTCCCCTCCACCACCACCAATGTGCAGCATCCACCTGGATGAATGCCAGAATGCTCACCACACATCAGCTATCAGTGGGGAGGAGAGCAGAATGTATACTGTATACATTCTATTGTAGCCAATTCAAAGAGGGGGATTATTAGGAGGCCATGATTGGTAAGGGCCAATGGGGAAATTTGGCCAGGACGCCAGGGTTACACTCCTACTCTTTTCGAGAAACGCCCTGGGATTTTTAATGACCACAGAGAGTCAGGACCTCGGTTTTATGTCTCATCCGAAGGACCACGCCTGTTTACAGTATAGTGTCCCCGTCACTATACTGGAGCATTAGGACCCACATGGACCGCAGGGTTAGCGCCCCCTGCTGGCCCCACTAGCACCTCTTCCAGCAGCAACCTTAGTTTTTCCCAGGAGGTCTCCCATCCAGGTACTGACCAGGCTCACACCTGCTTTGCTTCAGTGGACTGCCAACTGTGAGTTGCAGGGTGATATGCTGCTATCAATTCAGTGTCTCATCCTGAAACTGGTTGGCCAACCAAATGGTTGTGCTGTATATATAAATTAGGAAATTCTTTCTTGCCTGTGATCTTTGACCTCTGAAAGGTCAAATACAAATGTCATTTAATATATATGTTATTTTCTACAACAAAAAAGACAAATCTGTAGTAAAAAAAGAACACAAGAGTAGCTATGTCAAAGCAATAGTTTTAGAATAAGACATTTTAAAATATCCCAACAAAGATAAAAGAAATGGTAAACATAAGTGCACATCACAAGATCATTTCTGAAAGGATTAATACAGTATTTAATATTTCTTTTTGCAAGACCACTGCAATCAGCAACATTTGAGAGATTAGAAATATAGTTGAGTCATGTACAGTATACTGTAGTATCACAGGGGCACAGAGTGTCATTAAGGCCCTAACTGTTAATTCAGAAAGAGGCAAGACTTCAGACACGGACACTGACACTATTTGCATTGGTACAATACATAAATTATTTTTATTATAGGCACTACTTAAATTCAGACAGAAGAGTAAACTGTAAAATGCACTTTAAAATAGCAACTCAGCTGAATTAAAATCAAAAAGGTTAAATTCAACAATGTACTGTCATTTAACAAACAAAAACATTAGATCAGTTATGCCAGCAGTAAAAGCACAGTATGAAAAGTACATACTGTATTTTGTTAGAACAAAAAGACATTTTCAGGAATTTTATAGTAAAATTGAAAAGATTTGTTTATTTGACTCAATAACATCCATTGAAAAAAGCTTAAAAATTTATTGAAGTTATAGATTTAAACACATTTTAAACTAACTGATTTCCCTTCAGTATTGCTATTGAATTCAGATGTTAAAATGTCTTTCAAGGTGAGATTTGTTTTGTGAATGAGGAATTGGTACTCCTACACAACTCTTGACAATGCACAGAAGCTTGTCATTTTGTTTTTCATGCTGCAAACTCTCCAGTGTTTCACAGGACAGCGGGCACTGTTAGAGTGACCAGCGTGTCTCTCACTGACATGCCTAAAAATATAAAGGTACCCAGCAGTTGACAGGAATCAGTACTAAACAGAAAGCTCTGTAAACCCAAGTTAACGCTGCCCCATCCATCCTTAGGGACACTTGGTCAGTTGTACTTGGGGAATCCCAGTAACACATAGCTACGTACATAGCCCAGGCTCAACCAATTATATCTAGGCCAATCATTTTTATAACTTATGATGCAAATGTTTATGCATAAAACCTGAATATGAATACCAAAAAATCTAGGATTGATGTCTCTTAATTAAGATCTCATTTTAAAATGTCTTTTTTTGGTCTTATGACCCTGAAGAAATGTCAGTGTAACATTCAATGTTGTCCTTCTCTTCTTTTTTAGGCATTGTGTCCTTGATCTCACTGGCAGTGCTGTCTTATGACCGCTACAGCACCTTAACGGTCTACAACAAGCAAGTCACAGACTACAGGAAGCCCCTCCTAGCAGTAGGGGGCTCATGGTTGTACTCCTTGATGTGGACAGTACCTCCACTCCTGGGCTGGAGCAGCTACGGTCTTGAAGGAGCTGGAACAAGTTGTTCTGTAACCTGGACAGCTAGGTCACCCCAATCAATATCCTACATTATCTGTCTCTTCATCTTCTGCTTAGCTGTTCCGGTTCTGGTCATGGTCTATTGTTATGGGCGCCTTCTATATGCAGTGAAACAGGTGAGTTAATATTTCATTAGATTATGGGCTCATTCTTCCACTGGTCAGATCGACTGTGTCATCTGTGAATGTTTACATTTTTAGGCTCATAAATATCTGCCCTTAGTGAATAACTATAATGCCAAGGTCCTAAATAATGCATCAAGGGGTGGTTAAATCAAGAAAGACACAATACTTTCATTGTACACATGGAACAAAGCCAGATTTGTTAGATTCATTGTTGTTTTGTTGGATGTCACTTTAATCTGAATGTAACTCTTTAAAATAAAATCAAATATAATATAATATTAAAATATTAAATATTAACTTTTAAGAATGACTAAGTTATGGTTTCTATAAGATTACAATATAGGTAACAGAGACATATGACATAGAAATAAATAGAATACTTCAACAAATATTTTTAAACCACCAACACTTAATACCATAAATATGGCATTTATTAATTGTTCCATGAAAACATTCGCATCAAATGTTTCTGAAATGGATGTTTAGATTTTGTCAGGAATATGTAAATAATATCATTCTAGGCAGGTCTAAAAAACATTACATTCATGCCATTGCAACAGTGAAGCTCCAGATAAATGAATGAATGCTTAATACTCAAAACATTTTCTCTGTCATTTTGTTGAGGGAGGAAATAAATGATAAATCACATTTTAAATCTTTTTAGGTTGGGAAAATCAGAAAGACTGCAGCCCGCAAAAGAGAATACCATATCCTTTTCATGGTGATTACTACGGTAGTGTGCTACTTGCTATGCTGGATACCTTATGGAGTGGTTGCAATGCTAGCAACATTTGGTAGACCGGGAACTGTATCACCCATAGCCAGTGTTGTGCCTTCTATTTTAGCAAAGAGCAGCACGGTCTTCAACCCATTGATATACATTCTTATGAACAAACAGGTAAGTGAGTTAACATGAGGTTGTGGGGATTTTGCACTTATAATAGTGACATTCATTCTGATCCTTGAGGATTGTGGTTTACTTTAACTTAAAAAGGCTTATAGTTCATATATAATCCTCAGTGTTAATATAGAGACATTAAGCGAATAATTAATTCAAATAATAAAAATAATAATAATACTTACACTTATATAGCGCTTTTCTGGACACTCCACTCAAAGTGCTTTACAGGTATGGGGACTCCCCTCCACCACAACCAATGTGCAGCCCCACCTGGATGTTGCGACGGCAGCCATAGTGTGCCAGAATGCTCCCCACACACCAGCTATCAGTGGGGAGGAGAGCAGAGTAACGAAGCCAATTCATAGATGGGGATTATTAGGAGGCCATGATTGGTAAGGGCCAATGGGAAATTTGTCCAGGACGCCAGGGTTACACCCCTACTCTTTTCGAGAAACACCCTGGGATTTTCAATGACCACAGAGAGTCAGGACCTTGTTTTTACGTCTCATCCGAAGGACGGCGCCTGATTACAGTATAGTGTTCCCGTCGCTATACTGGGGCATTAGGACCCACAAAGACCACAGGGTAAGCACCCCCTGCTGGCCCCACTAACACCTCTTCCAGCAGCAACCTTAGTTTTTCCCAGGAAGTCTCTCATCCAGGTACTGACCAGGCTCACACCTGCTTTGCTTCAGTGGGTTGCCAGTTGTGAGTTGCAGGGTGATATGGCTGCTGGCGATATATGGCTGTTGGCGATAAAATACAATACAATCCTTAAGAGTCCAGGATGGAATGAAAACCAGTGGACATGGTCGTCCTCCAGAATCAGAGGTTGATGAATGTAATTTGTCAATTCCCATGTGGCTATGGTCCACTATTTACAGTAGAACAATAAGTTTTTATATCAGGCCAATATGACTGTCTGGAGTGTAGTGATGAAACCCATTTCAGACAATTCCAGCTCAAGTTTTCAAAATTTTAGAATAATTAATTACATTACCACTTTATGTACAATATTTTTATTTATGCAGTAAATAAAGAGTAAACAAAAAGTTCCAAGCTGTATACAAACCAGTTTCTACAAATAATTTTAGTATAAAACCGAGTTAATTCATTACAAATTGATGAACGATTCCTAAAAAACCATTAACATTAAAAAAACAAGGCTGTTTAATGTGAGTTGGCTTTTGATTTTTTTAAACCTGTGAGCATTTAAGGCTGTTATAACATTTTCTGAGATTTCAACTTTAAACAGAATAATGCAACAGCTGTCACTACAGTGCATTAAATTCAACCTTTTGACACTAAAAGAAAAAAAGTAACAGTTTTGCTAAACATACAGTTTCATGCATCTTATAATCACTCTGTTATGATATTAGAATTTGATAATTAAATGAAGTGAAACATCTTGTTGAACAGTCCACATTCTCAACATTCAGACAATATAAATTTTAATCTACACTTTAAAAAAATAAAAAAGACCAAGACCTGGTTAAACCTTCATGCCTGTGCATCTTATGAGATGTAAAAATATTGTGAAATACAGTACTGACAATGTTTTTTTTTTACAGTTTGCTGATTCAGTGTTTCACAATCATAGGTTATTTATATATAATGGTATACTGTATGGTATACATTTGTGCCTTCATAACGCAACTTGTAGTGGAAGTTCTAAGGCTCAATCTAAAGAAGAACATTCATCTAAAAAGATATTTTTGTGCAGTCAAAACAATAAGATAAGTGGGTAGTGGAAAGAAAGCTGCGTAGTTAAATATTTATACAACAATAAAATAGTAACAAGTAATTATAGGACATGTAATGAAAATACAGTAAACAATATTCATTGGTAACCCAAGTGATATTAAAATACAAAACACAAAGTCTCCCATGTAAGGTTAGATGGTGAATCTAACATTTTCCGACAAACGCCAAAGTCAGGAATTATTAGATATTTTGTCTTTAGTTCATCATCATGAAGCATAACAGCTTTTCCTATTGCCTGACCAAGTATGTTATAGAGAGTGAAATCTTTATATCAGGATTACCCATGCAAAAAAATGCAAGTGCATCCACAGGGACTGGTAGATGTGAACAAACAAAAATAATATGGCAGCAGTAATGATCATAACAATAATTGCATTTGTATAGCGCTTTTTATGCCAAAAAACATAACGTATGGAGGGAACCCACTTCATTCACCACTGAAAGTGCAGACACACAGCAGCCAGTAACCTTTCCCTAAACAGTGGATAAATTAAAGAAGTGAGAAAATATTTCACCAATGAAAATAACACTGGAAACTTACAGAGGCCAGACTGTGCAAGCCCAATGTGAAATTTGCTAAGGAAAGCAGAGTGAACAAACCTGAACCACAGTTATAACATGTTTTCTGAAGAATGGCACCTCCTACAGCAGAGTGCCCATGTGGCCATATAAGTTTACAAAACTCATGTCCAGAGCCATGAGTGCCACCTATTGGATCACTCACATCACTTACAGCAGCAACTTGGTTTTCCTTACAGATCCAATATCCTCTCACCAACCAGGCCCAAACGTGCTTAGCGTCTCAGATCAGGCTAAGAGGTGGTAACATTGCCAGCATTAGTTACATTCACACTCAATCTGAGCACTATCAAGTCAGTTCCTAAAGGCACCAGAAAATAAAATGTGGGTTAGTAACTTTCACTTATATTTGAGTAATGAATTGTTTTAGATTTTCAGATATTGCTTTTGCAGTCTTGTGTCTCAGCAAGTTGAATCACTCCAGTAACTGAGTTTCTGAGCCTAAGGCATTATTTGTGGTTAAATTCAATTTTTTTTACTCATTTAAAAATATGCTTTTTTGCCTGTCCTCATATTATATGCATTCAGACTATAATCAATAACCATCTTTTAAGACTTATTTTGGCACAAACTGTCTAATGATAACTATTATAATAATATATACTATATATTACTACTAGTAATATAATACTGTATCAAGTACAATAACATAACATACAGCAAACATCAGCTGTGTTTAATCTTATTTACTTCACTGCATTTTCAATATAATCTCCAGTTCTACTTGGCATTGCAGCAAAAACAATGTTCCATTGTAAAAAGCTGTGTTCCATTAATACCACTAATTGTCCATTGCTGAATTATCTCAATCTTAACACTTGATGATTAAAACAGAAGTTCTAACCAAAAAACATGTAACCCAAAAAATCATCTTTTTAAGAAGTTATGCACATAAGTGTGAAAGGCAGAAAGAGAGTTGTAATTAAATTTGTTCAGATATAAAAGTCACCAAAATCCCTAGAATTAGCATTTAACAGGATTAGTCAAAAGGGCAAACACTAGACAATATCTGAACTTTTCAGCTTCAATATGAAACAGTTTAAGAGATGTAACAGATGAGATAAGGCAAGAAAGCAACTTGTGGTTTAAGTGTTTTTGATATTACTACTTTAAACACATTACCACCTTCATTGCCATTAAAATTACATCAGAATTGGAAGAATAATAAATAGAGGCTTTCAATTACAATTAAAGTGGAGTATAGAAATTTAATGGCCAAAAACAGATGTTGAAAATAGCAGAAATTGTGTGGCAAAATTATTAGAAACTATGATTGTTAAGAAGGGGAACTATAAAGCTATTTTGCTGAGAAACATTTGTAATAAATCCTGCAAAATATCTAATCTTCAATAAAATGTTCTTGAAGATTTTAATTTTTCAGTTCATTGTGTGAATTTCTGACTAAGCCTGAAGCCTTTCATTTTGATGATGAAAAGATGTATTTTGACATTGGTTGCATAAGTATAACTTTTTCTAATAGTACATCTTTGGCAAAACATTCTGAAATAGATTCAGCTGTTAAATCACACAGGTTGTGCTTACTAGAAAAAAATACAAAAGTTAAAAAAAATCTTGTACACTTGGAACATTAAGAAAAAAGTAAAATTATACTCTTCAAAAATCTATCTAAAAAAAACAAATCGATGTCCAGGTGCACGGGTGTTCCCATCTAATCAGATGGGTGTAAATGTATTTCATAATAATGAGTTTTGGTACAGAATAAGGTATTGTTAACTGTGAAATTATGACTGAAAACAATGTTTGAATCGGGGGTTGTTGATATACAGTACAAACTGTAAAATACGATATAATGTCCAGTATTTCTAGTTCCACCCTGGGCATCTGAACTACCCTGAATTTTATTAGTGAAGAAATTTCTTCTCCACCAGATTTGTATTGTATTGGGGCTGCTAACACAATGACTGCTGCTCATCACTTAGTTTGGTGGTGGAATGAAGTGGCTCCCCTTTTGTCTGTAAAACACTGTATAAATGCAATTTTCTATTTAATTACAATATAAAATGCACAAGTATCAAAGCCTTCAAATAACACATCTTGGTCATCTTAGTAGAATGATTGGAAATAAAACAGTGCATTTTTATTAAGTCACACACCAGAATGGAAGTGAAAGAACAAACTTGAAAACTGGAAAAAGGTGTTTTAAAAAGTTCCATTAACATCTGCTCAACAAATGTCATGAATTATTTTTTACTCAAGCAAAGTCCATTATCAATATAATTATTAACTTTAAAAAAAGCAATCAGGAATTTACTACCAAAAGAGGGACTCTTATTTCAACACATTATGCGTGTGAATCTCACTGATTTTGTCCTTTTATTCCTTTATGTCCTTTATTTATTAATCAATTCATAAAGAAGACCAGGATTGGTTATTGATAGGAGTTTATAACCGTACATTTTGAAACCCAGTTGAATTAATTGCTACTTTATGACATTACGCCATAATTTCAACATTTGTCAGGAACTTCTGAATTATTTAAAAACTATTAAAATTAATAGCTGACATCTACAAAACACACGCATATATAAAATCTTATCCTACATGCATTCTTCTATGAATATCTAACCAGCACTTTTAGTTTTTTAGGCTTTTAGCCAATGCAAATACTAAATTACTTTTAACATTTTTCTGTAGGAGTAGATACTGTATTTGCCTTTACACCATTTAAAAATGTTCTAATATTCATTAATGTACTAATGAACTATAGCTTAATTTGGCCATTTACAGTTCTTTCAAGTACTTATTTTTCCTAAATAGCACATGGTAAATTATTGCAATATTGTAAATTTAATTTCTGTACTTTTTCCACAAATGCCGATTTAGTGTTTACAGTTTATGGCTCTGAATCCAGGCAAAGTGACTTTGCCTTTCTTCTTGAGATCTTCCTCAGTTCCCATGTTCACTTTCTGTATCAACATCTTTTCATAGAGTAGAGGGTGGTATGCCCCCAATGTGCAGGCAGCATCGTAGTATTGTTCATGATAGTGGCACAGGTCTGTTTGTCTGATAGAGGGGACATACTCGTAGACATCCACTTCATCACATAGAGACATCATGATGAGAATTCCTGGAAGACACAAAAGCGCACACCACTGAAGTACAGGAATGAATATTTAACACTTCAAACCCTGCCCATTTTAAGCTGTATACTTTAGGCCAGCTGCCCTCACCTGGGTTATGTATATTTAAAGCAACACTGTTCAATTGTCTTTTAGGTTTTTACACTTGAGGATTCTAAAGTTTATCCAATTTTTAAAACTGAAAACAAAACTGCAAGGCATGTTATAAGTTGAAATTGGTTGACAAAAAAAAAATAATTTCTGCAGCTTTATTAGAAATGTGTAATCTGTTGATTTTACACAACCTCTGAACACACTCTTGCCTTTAGAAAAATCACAATGATAACTAAGTGCCTTTCTTATATTCATATCCCAGAGTTAAGTGCCAAATCGGGGATTCCCGAAGCCGGTCTTTTTTTCACCAGAATTAGTTCGCACTTTGCTCAACAGTACTCACTGGCAGATGTCTCAAATTGTGAGATCCACAGGGCAGACAAAACATCAAGACCTGCAGCAGATAGTTACTTCTGAAGAAACAGTAAGTTTTAAATTGCTCTTTCAAAGAAAGAATAAAGAGTGTTGAAAGCAAATTGAAGGTTGACGCCTCCAGAGTGGCTCAGCAGATAAAGGTACACAAACCAGATTGCAGGCTGAGCTACACAATCATGGGTTCGAACCGTGTGTCATGTCAGAGTCGACAGTGACCACAATTCCCCAAGCAGGGACGCGCAAATTAGCCAAGCGCAGCCAAGGGTAGGATTGGATAAGTCAGACTGGGCTCACGTCAAACAGTGACCCCTTCGACTTCCTGTGTGTGGTGTCATTGGAGAGGTACATACCCTTCTTCCAACCTCTGAATCGCCAGTATAGGGTTGGTTTGCCATTGACACGTTTAGAAACCAATGGCTTGAAGGTTTGTTGGCTCTTCCAAATTGGGTGGGTAAAAAAAAAGAGTAAAGCAAAGGCAGGGAAGGGATGAACAAAAATTACAAGTACAACTTCTAACATTAGCTTAAAGACCACAGCACTTAAATGAAGTTGAAAAATTAAAGTTCGCCATTTCCAATTTGACAGGAATTAAAAAAAAGATCTGCCATTTGGCTCTTCCAGTTTTATGTACTTGAATATTAAGGTAGTGTCATTCAGAGTTTTAGACCTTCAGACACTGACATTTTTAAATGCCACAGACAAGCTGTACAATCTTTATAGAACAATAGATGCATAAATGTTTCTTCTTTTCTTCATTAAAAGCCATGTCAGCTAACAGTTAACCCCGCACTTTTTCACCGATTGTCATCCTTTCAGTATATAACATTTTGCGAGAATCGGGATCATTACCTGACACAGAAATTACATTTTGCTGATTATGTCCTACACACAAAGAGAAACTATTTAAAGAAACAGCATATATCTTCTCCATGGACACTCATTCAGATTTCAATGAATTGTAAATCACAGCAGTTTATCTGAAATACTATTTAATTTGGCATATTTTCTTTTTCAGTTTTATGGATGTTTTCTCAAACTTTTTCACTGCAAGCAAAGATCAAGTGCAAATGGACCATTCTCGCTACAGTCAAGGACTACTGTTATCCAACTTAATCGTAGAGTGTACAACAACACAATAGATGGAACTGTTCAGATAAACACAGCTGATGAAGACCGTGAAGGTACACCTCCCATGAAAGTAAAATCAAATCCTCCAGAAATGAATCCCTGACTTCTTGCTTATTTGTATACCTGTCAAGTCGAAAATTTTCAGCAAGCAAGTAGGAAGGGACATCCTCACCTTTCAACTCATGTTGGATAAGTCTGGTTTCATACTGGGATCACATTGTATAACAGTACCAGTTCATAGCATTAGAATTTGAATGTTAATATCTTTAACCAGGAAGGTTGAAGATTTTATCTAATTTGAAAATATTATTTCACTGTTCTGTAGATGTATATTGTCTAATGGGCATTTAAACTGAATTGCCTATATTGTGAAGAACATATAACATATAATAAAGTGCCATAATTTACAAGCCACATGAAACTGCATAAAGCAAAAATATTTCCAAAATAGTTTGACAATACAAGAAGCATATTTCGACCTTTTCAGAAAGCATTGTGAAATAGGAATTCACTGGTGTTTCTGTGAACCATTGTTATTCATTACTGTTACTGCCTTTCACTGGATTTGAAGGCATGCATAGTATTTACCATGAAATAATCTAATTATTTATCAATCTAGTTATGAAGCAAATCTGAAGAATCAATAAAATCTAATCAAATAAAAACTGAACCATGTAAAGACTACCTATAATATTTTGGGAGTGTGGAGACTGGACTATCATAATATAATGACTTCATAACAAATAACTTCTTGTAACTGAAAAATCCATTAGCAGTAATTATTTGTACTGGGGATATTTTTGGAAAAACTGTGCTGTACATTAATTTCATGCAGATTATTCAGTACCACCTCACCGATGTAACATAACTGAGTGAAAGTCTGGTGTATTTTGGTTTTGTACCTAGATAAGACAAGCAAATAATGTCTAATGTTGTGTTACAGCAAATTAAATTGCAGATGACATCTAAAATAAACCACAAGATGTTCAATAAGTGGTACTGCAGGTATTAGAGAACCCTGGGAAGTACTGGGGTGTTCTGAAACTACCATAAACACTCTTAACATCATGAGCAGTGTTTAAAAAAAGTGTCAAAACATGATTAATTTATAAAAAAAATGTAAATTGAGGTAGATAATTCCAAGCAACATGTACTCTGAAGACATATGAAAAAGGACTGTAGGTAATATGATGTCTTCAACATATGTGTATAGGTTTCACATTGGTGATGCCTAATTATAGCTGAAGTTTGCTGAAAACAAATAGTGTTGTGTGAATTGTCTATCCTGGCACAGAATCAAGACAGGTCACAAATGCCATTAACAATTTACAAGAGCAATTGTCATGAGCTTTTCCAGTACTGAAGAACTATATTGGGAATATAATTAATTATAGTACTCAGTTTTTTGTGATGTTATGGTATGTAGAACTGCAAGAAGATTTGAGCTCTTTTAGTACTCTGCTTCAAAAGTAAGTTTTGCATTGTCCATCTCCAAAAGTATTTTGGAACTGAAAGGAAATAGATTTGTGATTTGTGATCTGATCTGTAATGTGTGCCATATTTCATAATAGCTACAAAACACACAGAAAAATATAATTTCACTTTAAAATGTATTAATATATGAATTTGTACTACATGATTTTTATGGATAAAATTGTCTTGGAAAAAGTGAATACTTTATTAAGCACTTCAAAGACTGCACAACAGCAAAGCAACAGTTTTAGGCTCTAGAAAATCATTGAGAGAACATATGCAAAACTGGATTTCGTTCAGATAAATGTAAAATATAGGTCTGAAATACAACTTTTTTAAAATGATGTTAAGTAACATCGAAAGGATATTTTTATCCATTATTATATAATAACATCATCTTATTAAAACACAAATCGTAATCAAATTCAGGTAAATGTCTTCTCCACTCTGATAATACCAAATATAAACTTTGTTCAACAGAAATGCTAAAATTACATTGTCCTAAACTTCTATAATAAACATCAAGAAATATTTTGACAAGTTCCTAGATTACACTAGATTATTATCTACCTTTCAGTATATACATACAGTATAACCACCTGGTAAGTACATCTGACATCATGCTGTTAACTTCCAATGTTACACTGACTGCAGGCTCCAACGTGATGCCTATGAAGATATTATGCAACAATTTGAAATTCAGTAATGGTAACGCCAGCTGCTTTATATGGATATCTTTAAGATGGTCATCCACAGCTTGGAGGTTAGGTTCACTAAGCAGGTTAACAAACTTTGTGTTCTTTTCAACCATAGTTTTCATCTTAGTCTAATGCCAGAAATATGGCAGGAGTGTCTTTCTATCAACTGTCTGTTCAAAACCTAACTGCTAATCATATCCAGTCCCTACATTAAGCAGCCAATTCTATCTGAAAAAAAAAATCTGAAGGTGGGCGAAAAAAATATCCCTCTTCGCTAAGTTCACTTACATAATATAGCCACGAGGTTAAACATGTGTAAGTACTGTGAGAACGATAACCCTAAACCTAGCTGGGGGCTAGATTGAGCAACTATGTAATCGGTCTCTGAAGCCCTCTATTCATCAGATCTGAAAATCTTTCTCAATCCAAAAGGCATGAGCCTAAAACAATCAAATCCATTAATAAAATTCTTGTCAATTCATCTTCTTCAATAATTTATGTTCTTTAGGCACATTTTCAATCAATTGAAAAACAGGGTTAGGTTTACCATATCCATTCAAGTTTTACTCCATTTATACTTTATTATAATGACAAAATTGAAAGAGCTAAACAATGGAATGGGTGACTTGTAATTAGATTTATTATTCTAAAACCTCTTATAAAGATTTTACAAAGTTTTCTAAATCAAACACAAATACAAAGGGTTTTAGAACTTGTTAATTAGTATCATTTTGAAGCATTAAATTTGGTACTTCAATACACATTATTTAAACTTTCTCTTAAAAAGCTCTATAACAAGGATGTTTGCAAACATTCTTTTTTCAGTCCTCCAAAATAATAATCTTACAACATATAAACATATTTTTATACTATACTACAGACATATCTACTGGAAGTATTCAATACACATGACAATCGCTGAATCCTTTACTTACCAATGAAGCCTGAAGAAGGAGGATTGGGCTGAATCTTCTCATGGGTATTTTCCTGAATCACATCCCACATTTTCCAGATGAACTTGGGATGAAGAATATAAAAAGGCTGGTAGGGATTCTTCTTTCGATATTCCACATAAGGTGTAAAAAGGTCGTAATCTGGATTTTCATACCACTGTGAAGAATTAAACTACATTTCAGTTTACAAAACACTGACATAAATAAATCTTAGAGTATGATTAAAGTCTCCTGTAACTCAATATTGCATACAAAAACTAAACAAGTTCTAAAAGGACATTACATCCACATTAACATTATCATATAACTATGCTGAATGAGAATATACATTTTTATACAATCATATAATGAATCGTCTAATAATGCAGAAAGTGCTGGAGTGTATTTTGATATGTACAGTCATCACATTTAAAACCTACACCTGTTCCAGAGGAAAAAAAATCTAAATCAAATTAGCAAAAGTAAAAACCAATAGTAACAAAGCAAATATCATCCAAGGATATCAGTACAATTTCGCCTTCACACATGTACATAGAGTGATAGTTGTCTAACTTTAAAATCGTGCTGTATGTTTTAATTGTGGGAAATATTCGATAAATAAGGCGATTAAATTCTGAGAAGCATAAAATATTTTTCTTAATTTACTTTATATAGCATAGCTGTACAGAGCAATTCTGAAATCTTGCTAAATACATGGGGAAAAAACAAAATTATATAATTGTGTATTTTCATGCAAGTGTGGTACATTATATAGCAGTAATTAAGTTCATTTAGAATAAGAAACATACAAATGGAATACTGTTTTCATTAAAATGTACTTCTAGGCTTAATTATGTTGGCAAACATAAATGACAATCATAAGAAAAAAACCTTTATTTTAAAAAATATTTTTCCATTGCAAAAAAAATATTCCCCATTCACAATTATAGAAGGATTAATGCCCAAAATGATCCATGGGAAATAGCTATCATTTGTTTTCTGACATTTTTTCAATTTTTCCTTAACAACTCACTGCTCACTGAACATTATCTAGAAAACCACATATACATTTTATGTTAGAACAAATAAATCTTTAAAGGAAAATGTATAGACTTCAGGTTCAGTGTTAACCATGAAGAGGACCAGGATTATTTTGATGCAGTTTCATTGGTAAAACTAATCATGCAGAATGTTTTTTGAATTCACATGGGCATGTATAAAGCATGAAGCATTTTTTTTAACAGTGTTGCTTTGCAAAATTCATATTATTTACATATGTTTTCGTCAGGGGTTTTAAAAGTGCTTTTTATTTTACTGATCACATAAAAAATCACTTAAACCAATTTTGACTCCATCCACTTTCTGATTTAAACTGTGAAAAAGTAAATGTAAAACAAGTGATTTGCATTTACCTACATGGTGAGTAAGCAAATAATCTTTTCTTGTTATTCATAAACCACGAAGAGGTGATTGGATGGCTCTGATCCTACTGCAATGATATTATCTTTAGCGGTTCAAGTAGTTCACTTTATCTACTAATGGTACAGTTTAAATTGGTGGTTTTGCAAATTTCACAGCTACCTTATCAAGAATTTCCTTTTGGTTTCTTTTAGCATTGCACAACACTGTACACAACTATTAGCTCATCATTTACAACCTCCAGAATTTGTATGGGATAACACACACACATTTTAAAATGATGGTAACACTTAAGATTAGGTTTTCATAAACCAATATTACAACATTTCAGAAAGGGGTACTTGAATACATTCACAATTATTAATGATTGAAGTAACAAACTTGTATTGAGTGGCTATAATGACTGCAATGGTTATGGTTGCCAGCTTTATCATTTGAATCTGAAACCTTCCGTACTCACTTAAAAAAATACTAAATACTTAGCTGTAAGAAATTACTTACACCCCTTAGCATTGATAGCCTGATTTCCCTTATTGCATCATATGGACTATGGAGTTGCAAATCTGTTGAAAGACTAATTTCAGCTCATATTGTGAATATCCATGCTCCAGTGATAGTGGTCCCTCAGTGTGTGTGGCCTCAATAATTAATGCCCATTCGAACCATAGCTTTAGCCAACCTGTAAATTGCAAATTAGAATCCTAACTGTAGCTGCATTAGGTTAAACTGAGCCCAAGGTACTTATTTTGCAATATTTACTTCAGTTGTCTAGCACTAATAATTGACAAGACCTACCTTCTGAAGGTTAGCAGTGTATGGTGCAGGATCCCAGGCAATCAAAATGACATCTCTGTATAGTGTGCTGATATTGAATCGATGAATTGAATTGGCAATAATCTATAGTTTTGAAAACAAACAAGGTTAATCAAAACAATATGAGTAAAACAGACTACTTTCTGAGCAAACAGTAAAAGCAAATCATATCCTTGACCAAGCCAAGTTACATCAACACTATCACAATCATACCTTCCAGCAATAAAAGCCTAAATTAGGTGGCCCAACAATTTTTGCAATATTTTCTAGCACTGTATATAAATAAACACTTTTTAACCTTTTTTTGTTAACAGTCACAGAAACATGATTAGGATGAGAAAGATTCATATGTAAAGATTTTTAGGAATAATGAATAATTAGGAACGTTCTTATAAAGACGTATAAAAAAACCTTTCCAACAATGTATGAAATTTTTAAGCAATTCTAACATTTGTAAACAAGCTATCAAACATGGAGGTAGCAGAAAATGATCATTTTTATTGAGGAAGGAACACCAGTTGAGTTAAAGCAACATTACCTACATTTTCACACAGATCAATAAATTCATTAGCACCTTCCAAACAATCACTGTTAGAAAGTTTAAAAGGGGAATTCCAAGATCCTGTTCTGTCTTCAGAATTACTGAACTTTAAAAACTTCTGCTGCTTAGACAATCAGCTTTAACCTATTATGACCTGTCGAGACTTGAAAGTCCTGTCAGTAAGTAAGTGCTGAGTCTGGGCTTCTGGCCTGGCGGGACTGCATTTAAATGTCAAAAGACACTGGACAGCAGATTTGAGGTGAAATCCCCAAGAGTCAGGTGTGAATTGTGTGTTAAAAAGGAAACCGAGTGTCAACCACAATCTAGGTGCAAACAGTTTGTTTTGCATTGCAAAAATGAAAAAAAAATGCTTTTCTCACCTGTGAATTAACAATGCGGATTGTCGTCTTATTTCCCACATCTTTTTCATAGCCTATTGTTGGCGCCGCGTTGAACCTCACAACGGCTTCATGAGAATCTTAAGAAATCAATAAAACAATTGGAAGCTACACAAAATAATTCCACTTCAACTATCCTTTAATGTGCATTTTCTCTTTATTCTGCTGAAAAGCTACTAAACAGTTAATTGAAAAAAAAACGTCATTTAATTTCTTAATATTAACATCTTAAAATGTACCTATTTTCTTAAATGAGCAATCTCAACAAACCTATCCTTCAGCTAATGTTAGCATAAATAGCAAAAACTCAGGCAGATCAGGTGAGAGTTTTAATACTAAACTTCAGCACAAAGACATTATAATGAAGGATATATTTTGTGTGATGGTTTCAAACCTTGGCCATAATCTGAATAATTAATTTTTTTCCAGCCTTTCAACTGAGACAGCTATAAACTAAAATGGTTATAGATCTTGGTTCAGAACATGCAAGTCAAATTTTTAAATGTTGTATTAAACAAAAAAGCAAATACGTGAGCTTGTACTTAAAAGTACCCAGCTTTCCCAGAGGAATCGTTTATAAAAGTATAAAATATAACTAGAAATACATATTATTAGCTATTGATAATTATAAGCACCAAATATTATGTCCTCCGAAAACAATTAGATAAATTTGACAATACAACACTTCTTCAGACAAATTCTGAATGACTTTTAAATGTTAATAGACCCGATTTTTAGTTTTGTGAAAATATCTGAGGAACAAAAAATATTTACATTTTATTCAGACAGATACATTCTTGAAACACAAACATCTAAATTAAAACAACTACAACTCTGTTATATGTAACAGTTAAACAGGTGTTTAGTTTCACCTCTTACAAATTCGTAATCAGTCATTTGCTCAAAACACAGGTGTTAGGTGTGGCTTCATGTAATTGTGATCATTCATTTTCAAGTTCTGCTTCTTCAAAACCTTTTGAAGAAATACATTTTTCAAAGCATAGATTCAAATTGCTAGTTCTAAGTTATTGAATTTTGGTTGAAATAAAGAGATTCAAGAGATTATAATTCATCCTCTGTCACTCCCCTGACAAGTGAATTTCAGGGTGAAAAATCCACATTTTGTGGTCATTAGTCCATCTGTTCAACCCTGCAACTATTTGTTTGATGTGCATTTGGTTTAAAGAAATGCAGAAATACAATATGTGGCTAGAATCTTGAATTTGTCAGTTTTAAAATGACACCACATACATTATCACATTTCTCAAAATTTGATAGCACAATTTGATACCATATAAAATATTTTATTCTAAAAATATTATATTGCCTGCTTATCCTACATGCTGATTTGTTAAGAAATTGAGTTTTGGACTGTATAGTTTAAATTAAGTGATGACATATTCAGTAACTTCGTTCTTGTTTTAAAGAGCAGATTGAATTGTTGCTATTGTCATAAGTCAGTTGTGTTGATTAAGTATGCATTTCAAATTTGTTGTTTTCTTTGGAATAAAGGTGTCCTATGTCACCCTACCCCTAGGGAGTTTCTTTTTGCATTTCACAGGGAATTCAGTCAATGTATATCGCATTATTTAATTAAAACACAACTTGTTTCCTAGTCACTAATATAAATAAATTGATAATATTTAAATAAAAAATGACATCTGTACGCCAAAGACTGAAGTTTATTTCAAATGTTTTAAAGTTTGAAACTTAATAGCAATTTCAGAATAGCAATGGTTACAATCATTTGAAAAGAAACATTCAACTGGTTTCTGAAATTCCAAGACTGGAGTTACCTATGGAATGTTTAATCTTTTTCTAGAAGGTTTACAATTCTCATCGATGTGTGTGTCACTATGGCTATTTGGTTGATGTCTCCCAGAGAGACTTCCTAGCTCCTACAGGGGTGTTCAGATGTGCAGATAAACCCAATAGTCTCACAAGATGCGTGTTTTAAACACAAGCCTCTGCTGTTTATCAGTGAGCTTCAAAATTTCCTTTTTAATTTTCTTACTTTAGAATGCATATTCATATGAATACATCTCCAAAAACATTGTGACCTGTGACTCTTATAATGAATTAAAAAATAGAATAAACTCATTTGTTCTTTAAAGTCTTCAAAAGGAATAGTCAAAAGGTCTTAATACTTCAAACACTTCATAATTTAAGATTTACAGTTTTCCCTTTTATGGGCAAGGCAAATAAGTGACAAAAAGGCCAACATAAGATACATGAGATTAGAGTATAACTGAAATCACAGAAAGTAGAGCAATGTTAGTAATGAAGTTCTAAAAAGACGAAGGCATGCTAAACAAAGAGGTTAAAACCTTTAACAAAAAAAGGATTTAGATCATACTAGATATAAGTATCAGAATACTGAAAGGTATTAATAAAGTGAAACAAGTACATTTATTCATGCTCAGCCATGTAACAAAAACAAAAGGGCACAATTTGTACATTTAAGAATGAAAAGAAAAGACATTTCTTAACAGAACAAGTTGTAGATTTGTGCACAAAGCTACCCAACTATGTCCCTTAGAACCCTTAAAAATACTGATTCACATCCTCTGTACAATAAGCTACTACCAAATAGATGAGCAAAATCAGTCTGAATGTCTCCAGTTCTCAACCTTCTCATGTGCTGCATGCTTCACATGACTGTGCTTTGCATACTGTTAGCTTACTTTGCATGATTGCAAATCTGAGGCCTAACAGAATACCTTTTCTTAATGAAAAGGTTTAAAAGAGAACTTTACCGAAGTCACATTTTTTTCCATCACACAGATAGCTTTATGAAGTCAGAATGTTGCCAGAGCAAAAACGCAAGTTTAAGAAATAATTTACATTTACAAAGCACTGAGAACTTTCAGAGTTTATACTGTACATTCAGTACAGTACAGGTTCTGTACATGAGCTTCAATCAAAATTGAAAAACCTTGGGGTTATATTCGATTCTGGCTTAACATTCGACCCACATGTGCAGCATACTGTCAAAACATCTTTTTTTCACCTTAGAAATATTGCTAGACTACGCCCTATGCTAGTATGTCCAAAATTCAGCAGCCAGAATCCTGACCAGGTCTAGTGCAAGTGCTCACATTACTCCTATCCTGGAGTCCTTGCACTGGCTTTCGGTCAAGTTCTGTGCTCACCTATAAGGCTCTGCATGGCTTGGCACCCCAGTACCTGTCTGAACTACTATAGCCCTACTCCCCACCTCGCAACCTTTGCTCTTCTAATTCTTCTCTCCTTACTGTCCCCCAAGCCCGTCTACATTGTATGGGTGGCAGGGTCTTCTCCTGTTATGCCCCCAAGTTTTGGAACTCTCTCCCCAAGGATATCAGAGAGTCACCTTCTCTAAACTCCTTAAAACCCTCTTCTTCAGAAAAGCCTTTACTTAACTGGTTCCATTCTTCACCCCTCTGCTTTTCTTAGTACCACCATCCACGGTCTCCTCTATATATTGTAATTGTGTTTTATCTTGTGTATTCTTCTTATTTATTGTTGTCATCCTGTAAAGTGCTTTGAGAAGCCACCTTTAAAAGGTGCTATATAAAAATGTTTATTATTATATTATTCAGTGGATATTATTAAGGTAATAAAGTACATTAATGAATGATTACAAACGTAACAATTTAACAGAACGTTTCACAACTAGCTGCTGAAGGTCGTACAATATTGTGCAACAAGGTTTTCTATATAACCGTAAAGCTGCTTGACTGGATTGTGACTACCCTCAATTGTGCACATGAACAGAATCATATGGATTGTTTCTATGACTCATTTTAATCATCTGACAGATCTGTGCAGAATAACTGTAACTATATTGCCAAAACACATTGTATAATTTTTTTAGATTAGGTTTATCAGTATTATGTCATAAATACTAATGCAAACACATTCACACTTTAAAAATACCAATAATGTTTGCTATTCACAGTAGCAATTTAAGGTTTTCTTGATTTAAAAAGATCATTAACCATTTTCAATTAACTTCCCTTTCCACAAGGTGGCAGAAAAAGACCAAAATACAGCCTTGAGAGTTAGCTGTAGTCCATATTGGAACGTCATCCTCCCCCAGAACCTCTCTCCTCTTAAAACTCCTTCCTTATTCCTACAAAACTCCTGCACCTTTATCAGTTCATATTATGTTATTCATATTATCAGAATGATATTATTGATTTTTGGTTGCTACAAATATTGCTGAAAAAGTGACACAATCGTAAAAATGTCCATTGTGTATTAAGTCTACAATATTATTTGATGGAATGTTCTCTGCCAGAATTTCTGCAGAGATCTGAAAATGATATTAAATGTCAATTTGTTTGGAGACAGTCTCCAAACAGTTGATCATTACAAATTTGTCAGTTCACTTGCCTGGTCAGTAAATAATTTCAATATGAAGTTGATTACTGACTTTCATGTCAAGTTAATCATGACTTTTCATTTTGATCATCTAACAGATCTGTGCAGAATAACTGTATTGTCACACATTGTATTCTTTTTTAGATTACGTTCACCAGTATTATGTCATAAATACTAATTTAAACATCTTTAACACTTATTCAAAATTATCAATACCTATTAAACACTGGTTTTGCAACCACAACTTTGTAACCATAAATCAATAACTTGATGATGTTTTGAGGGAGTTAAGATGTGCTAATATCCTAGTCAAAATGGAACATGCACAAAACCAAGTAAAGGTAGGTTAAAAGTAAAAGAGCAATTACATGTACTAAAGTAACAAACCTAAATAATATTGGCAGTCACAATGAGGCAGTGATTACCTCTGATAAGTAGACCTGTAGAACTTAGTTATGGACTTCGAAATTGTAAGTGTATTGTTTAATATTAACAATCTAGTTTCTAGATTATTTCTAGTTTCTAAAAATAATCTATATTTTAGAGAGCAAACTCCAGTGACAGAGATTTTGATACTATATAGGAAATATACTACAAGGATATACAATTAAAAAGAGGGTGCTAGAAGTGGAACTAGCAGAACTTGATTTTACAACATTAAGAAATCGTAATAACCCTAATACTTTTGCTTAATTTAGTTAAAAGGGAATATACTGAGTTGTAAATGGCATATGCAAAAAGGAAACCTAACTATAAGCCAATGTTTAATTTCTATACATTATATTTTCAGACAAGTCCATGGTACTTAAACAATCTCAACTAGTAGCAGCATAGCTACAGGATTACAAATTACACTGAAACTTCCCCTTTTATTTGAAATTGTTCTGTGAGATTGGAGGCACATTGTCCAAAGAAGAGACACAGATGCAGGGCTTTTCTGACTTCCAGAACCACAGATGAAAGCAATAAACCTATTAAAATAATTAACTGGAGGAAATCTTAGAATGAGGGCAGCTGGCATGCTATCAGCACTCCTTCTGAAGATGATTTATAGTAGTTTGCCTGGAACATTGAAGTGGTATAAGCTCACAGAATACTCAGTCCAAAAGCTCTCTCACTCTGTAAAACAGCACAGTAGGATCCAAATGGTGAGCGTGGTGATGTTTTTACTCTTAATTCCATAAGCTTCTTCCAGTTCCCCATGCAGATGGAGTCATTTATTTTGATTTTCAGACAGCAAACAAAAGAAAATCACAAGTAATTTGCAGAAGAATAAAACAGTAAGATACTGTACATGCTTCATCTGTATGCTCTCAATTTAAATTATTCATCTTAAAATTTACAAATTTACTTTAGTTTTCTCAGTATTCCTGAAATAATATAGAGACGATGTTTAGTTAGGTAATTATCTAATTTCCAGATCCTTTCAAATGCGACCTGCCATGTACTGAACTCAGATTTCTTTTTTACAAGATTACCACTTAAACATAACTATCATTAATATAACATTACTGACTCAATAAAAATAATGAAATAAGTAATGGAACACAAATGACTTAAGAATCTTGAGGAATGGAGCTGTCCATCACACTTCCACTGTTATCAATTAAATAATCCACCAGCAAAGCCATTTAAAACCATCACTTACTGACCTACCGTACATTCTTCAAATAATTTATGTCTTAGAATAAACAATTTACTTTATATTTCTTTTATGGTGTTACGACCCCAAGTTAGGGGTAAAGGGGTGTAACATTTAGGATAATTTTTGGAAGCAGGTGAGGGACTAGGAAGCGTGATAACAATGGTCGGTGCAAAAGTGATGATTTTAAGGTGAATAAGTGACTGGTTCAAAATAGGACACAAGAACACACAGGGTAAGGAACTAGAGTGGTGCCAAAGAAAAGAAAATAAACAAATTAGAGTTGGCAAAGAAAGTGAGGGAAAGCCAACATGACTACAAAAGAAAACCCGAAACACACGGTCTTCGGCATCTTAAACACCCTAGCTAACCTCCACTGACTACCCAAAACCATATAAAACAAACGGCACTCACCCGTACTAAACTAGTGTGACTAATACAAGAATCAACTTTGTGTGTGCAAAATGTACCCAACAACCTGAACTAAATTTATACACAAAAGTTCACAGAAATACACAAGTGAACTACGAATAAAAACGAGAGTAGACAAGTAACAGGGTACAAAAGAACACGGAGGTTGATTCAATAAGTTTGGGCAAGGTAATGGCAAAATAAGGATAACACAAACAAACGAAAGTACAAAGAGATTAACAGAAACCAACAAAACAACAAACCCAAAGCTATACGAAAACACACACACACACACACAAAGCAAAACAACAAACCAACAAAGCAGAAGTGGGACCGAAGTCACACGAAAGGCCTCTTCCTTCTGAAAACCTTCTGAAATTGGTAATGATGGACCAATGAGGGAGGGAGAACAATCGAAGTCAGAAGTGTGGAACACAACAACAAAAACACACATAGACCACACACTGGGCCGTAACACGTGGTTTGAGTGGGGGATGTACATCCCTTTGAATTTTCCTTTGAATTTGATTACAAAGGAAAAGTGAAAGTTTTAAAGTAAATAGTAAACCCGAGCTTAAATTGTTTTTCTACTTCATATATTTTACTGCTCAAAATATCCCTACAATCTATTAATAATAACTTCCAATTCCATAAAACAGCTGTGGCTTGTCAAGCACATCTTTTTTTTTTGTCACACACCATCAGTCTGAACATTCATGTTACAACAAGTCTGACAATTAGTTTCACTCAGGCTGAACGGGGAAAACCAGAAGACAAATTGTTTAGTCCTTAGGGTTTGAATTAGCAGGTCTTCAGGAATCCAGACAACCAACAGATGCTATTCCAATAACTTGCAGCAAAACTGCCAAAAAATAACCAGGAAGATTTTTTAAATGAGAAACTGAGGTGCAATTCGATAACGATAATTATCGCAATATAATTTTCCTTGATATAATTTTAACAAAAGTTTGATAAATGTCCGATAAATATGTTTATGCTTTGCGCATGATATGTGCATGCGCACAAAATACTGCGCGAGTGCAAGTGTGTGTTGCAGACCGGGCAGCTAACAGATTTGTTTAATGTTTCTGCTGTTTGGCAAGTGTTTGTTGTGTTCTTAAAATAAAGAGTTGTTTAATTTACCAATTAACTGTCTGGTTTCTTCAACTTTCACTCAGGAGAAAAAATCTGCCTTTAAACTTGAAAGAAATAATGATTTGACTTTTATCGTGATCATGTTTTTGGCCATATCGCCCAGCCCTAGGTGCAATAATTCAAAGCTACATAATTGAAATGTGTTATATATGATTTATTATTACAGCTGGCAAGGAGTTTGTTTAACCAGATTCAACCACTGCTTTATTTGCTCCTAGACATTTCACCTTGTGATTTAACAAGGCTGAATACAGCATATACTGTACCTTTGAAATAGACTGGTAATGTATGTAGAAAAGGGCTTAGTCACACAGATAAAAGGAAACAAGCCATATTAATCTGCCTCCTTCGTATGAATCTGGAGCAAATGGTCCTTGCTTCCTGAAAAGCAGGTGAATGCTGTAAATGGGGCATACATTTCAGAGATTAATTTTATAGGAGAAATCATTTTAAAACCAAAAGAATGGCTCATTCAATCTAAAAAATAGTCCTGACAGATCTGCAATGTTATTTAGAAGCCTATATTTGCAGCTACAGTATGTCTATAATGTCTTCATTATAATTTGTATAACAACTCAGGTTTCAACCAGAAGGCTTTTGGAAGAGCCATCTGTCTCCTTCTTACACCTGCAGTGTGTCACGTTACAGTTCAGATAGAGAAACCAGCATGTGAGGCTGCAGATATGAAATGGGGCCAAAACAGGTTACATTGTATGGGTGTTTTTCTGATTGTCCCATGGATACATTCAAGGCAAATTAATCCAAACACAGCAACTGCCAACAGAAAAACAAAACATGTGTAACGGCTGTTTGGGTTTCCTCTCTCGCCACCTCTGCCCTGCCAGTTTGTCCCTCACTGCCTGGGTCACACAACAGGGAACTTGCCAGCTGAGGTAAAGGAGGACTCCTCCAGCCTGAGCGGCTAAGGTCTCCGTTATACGCAGGGGCGTATTCGTTACATATGCAAAATTACACCTTTCCAATTACAGGAGGCCTGTGTAGTTCTTCAGGCTTGTCCAGTGTCACGTTTATAAAATACAATTAGGCTGTAGTTTTAGAACATCAATCATTATACATAAAGAAAGCAGTACAAGCTCTTCAGAAAAGTCTATGGCTTATACTGCATCATTTACATTGATACTACCGCAAATATGTTAGCAAGTCATATTATAGACAGCTATACGTATAGTGTGTTGATCACTATTTTAGAATTATAAAATTATGTTTAATTTACTTGCAAAAACCTTCAGAGTAAAACTATAGTTTATGGAAACCAACAATAAAGCCTATGCTTTTTCCTATGATTATGTATTGACTTCAACATGAAATGGGGAAGTTAAGAAAACTGTTTAATTGTTTCCAGTTGGCTTATTTTCATCTGAACGAACAGTGACAGAAGAAAGCATGAAGTTTAATTCTTATTAAACCCTTAATAAAGATTGCTCATAATAAAGGTTAGCAATGCACAGTGTACTCACCATTTGTTGCTTTTTACAAAAAAGTGCTATACAGTACAAAGATACATAAGCATTTCATCCAAATTATATCCCATCCACTATTTCACAAACAAGGTTTGTCAGCATGTCTTTACTAACCTTTGGTGACCGACTTTTATGCCCATTTTTTTTTTTAAACACCCGAACCAAAATGAAGAGAGAAGAGGGTCAGGTAAATTATAATCCCAACCATTTCTAAAACAAAATAACAGCTTCTGTATTACTTTTTTTTGCAACAGACATTTACAAACTCAGTCATTTTGAGGAGAAAGTATTCTTTAGGATCTAAGAAGTCTTTCATTTGCTATAGCTTACTTTGCAACACTTTTTGGCACGGAACGGAATCAACGGTTTTTTCATATTATTTATCTCATAATAAAGATGAATACTTTTTACCAATGAGATTTAAAAAGAAATTCAGTAGGAGGCAAAACTCATTTGAATTTTTCTCAAAATAATTCCTGGGTTTACTTTTATATTCAAATCCAGTAAACTACAAAAATCAGCTTGGCCACAAAAGAAAGATTCCTTAATTAACTTAACTTACCAATCTCTTTTCCCAAGGAGGAGTTGAGCATGGCCCCTGCAGATGTCACCACTGCACATTTCCTGAACCCATCTGGATGAAGTTCATCGAGGGAAATTTTTGGAACAAACTTTTTCCATCCTAGCTTAGAAAAGGGACGTTCAGTTCCATCCAGGGACTGTACTTTGATTTGATGCTTCAACTCACACAGAACTTCCTGTCTACTGAGTTTAGATGCCCTTTTGCCTTCGTAACTAACATTGTGTTTATTGGCATCAAGGTACTCCTTCATCGCCTTTTGCAAACGAGGACTGAGCATCTTTGAGGACACATTTCCTTTCCACAGTTTGTAAATGACTGACTTTGATTTAAAAAGGTACTCTTCCAAGTCCTCCACAGTTTTTGAAGTCCTGTGTCTATGCCTTCTTAACCTAGATCTTTTCATCACTGTGGGTACATGTTCTGTTTTAGCAGAATTATATTCATAGAAGTAAAAGTTCTCCACTGCATGCTTGTTTACCTGAGTCTTTCTGTGTTGCTGACCAGCAGCAACAGATATTTCTCCAGTGCTCATCTGGGCTGACGTATCATCTCTTGAGATTGTATTCTGTATCTCATTCTCAAAATATGACCACACTTCTAGGTTAGGAGTTCCAGTTTTCTCAGTAAGGACTGGGCCATTGTAGGGCTTTTTATGGCTGTTGCTGTCTGGAGTAGCAATGTCTGACTGAGATAACATAACATTCTGATTGTTGACTTGAATAGAGGTCAGCTTTCTTGTTTCTGTGTGAGACAAGGAGCCAGTCACACGTGGGACATTCATTCGGAAATCCATGAAATAGGTAAACAATGCCAAAAAAACAACAATCCATGCCAATATTCCCATCAGCACCAGCTGCTTCCATTGTTTAACTTTGGATTTCATGGTAGTTTACTCCCAGCTTTAACAGGCTTTTGAGCAGCAGGTTGAAGACAGTCCTAGAAAATCCACAAACATTGTTGGGTAGAAATATTAAAAACTTAAAACTCATAGGCAAGATGTACAGTTGATGGACCAGTACTTTTATGTTAAGGATAGTCTGCTGGATTTCCCTTGATTGAACTTTGTGGTTCATTTGGAAAAATATTTTAATCTTTATTTTTTTCTCAAGCTTTCTCTATGCTTTTCATGATTAAAATGATCCTCACCCCACCGAATTATTTTTAACCGTTACTACGGACATTATCATAAGTGTCTTTAGGTGTAATAGCTTGAAAAGTATTTGATGAATACCCAAATCTGTCCATCTTTTAAACATCCAGACATACATTTCTATAGCTGACACTAACTCTACCACTCTCTTATTAGCTTTTTAGTCAAGCTAATATCAGTTAATTGATAAGATGTACAGTGTATAATTTGCTTGGATGTTTTTTTTTTGTTCTTCCATCACTTAAAGTTTATTTTAATTAGTTACCATCAGTTTTTCTGATTATTCTCCCAACTGAACTCTCATGTTAGTTAATACTCCAAATCAGGGCTGCTTGATTTGCAGCCACTCCAATTACTCCATGACACTTTTTTGCTCATTAATTATTTAATTGAATCTTGACAGGATCTATACTGCAATTAAGAAGCAAGTTATATCAAAGTACAGCAACTGAACAGATTGGAAGGATGGCAAGTTGTTGAGTAACCCTGCTTCAAATAAGGTTAGGATGCACTAAAGCAAGCATTTTAAGTTCAAACAATTATGAAAGTAAATTCTTAATTACAAGTCGATTAAGATGTAAAATATGTCAATTGAATCCAAGTTCAGTGGTCTCTCTAACACAAGCATAAACCAATATTCTCCAATATTTTTTTATTTGTCACTGAACATATTAGATAAATCTTGAGTTGTTCTTGGACCCAAGCCTTTTCTCCATAACAGAAGTCAAACTTTAAAATTCATGAATATACCAAACTCTCCCAAATCCACAGACAATTCTCCCAAAATTGCTGAAGAACATTTTTTTACATTGTACTGTGTATGGTGCTGTCTCCATAAGGAAAATGTGATTACAACAACACTTACCAAAGTAGACATTACCAATACAGGGATTCCATTTTGTTTCCAATGCACAGCATTGCTCTAAAAAATAAAATAAAATTGAAAATCAGGCAGGAAATGCAGAGATTAAATTCAATAAGATATGAAAACCAAAACCCAACAAACTACTGCTTTGTGTTTTTAGAATGTTTTTACATAGTTGAATATTTCAATATAATGACCATTACATAAGTATGGTAAATCTACTGTTTCCTGTTATCAGCCTGTTATTCCCTGTTGTCACACCTAAATTACATAATACTGTAATAGAAAAAAGGAAGCCACTAATTTTGCTACTACTGTACATGGTCAGCATTGGCTCTTCAATGAATCACAACGTGGGTGAAAGCGTTCAATTTAATCCACGTACAAATTAAATACATTCAACTAAACACAATAATATTGCTGAAGGTTATGCTTTGTTCCACAGATCCCTCTAACTGGCCCTCAGAGCCTGAGATGCAGCTTTTAAACAAACTCAATTTAATCAAATAATGATTAAGAAATCAAGGTAAGAAGATGAGTGACTGGGCGCTTTCCAAGTTTTAAAAAATTAGAGACCTTTAGTTATTGTAAACAATTCGGATTACAATTAAAGGTTCAGTTCATGTACGCAGCAGAGCTCAGCAGGAGTGAAATCCAGCCAGAGTGGGAGTTGCCAGGACTAGAGTTGGGAAATCTGCTCTGAGACGCAGGAGGGAAGATCCTGGAGAAAATGACTGTGGCCATGGAAAAAAAAACTGCACACCTGTATACTTCAAAATTTCATCTCAAGCCTTGTCAAGCACACATTTGCTCATTATTTTAGGAAAGTATAGTTACATGACCACATAAAAATGATACAACACAGGAACAGTTATCTGTAAAATGGGGTTTTAAGTGTTTTGTCTGGCGGGTCTCAATTAAATTGTCTTGCACATGGAATGCCTCTATAAAGAAAAATGCACTGGATAAGATTTTGTTTACTTTTGTTGACTTACAGATGTACTTAACACAAAATGTCTTTAATATTTGGGCACCTACTAACTTTTATTTAAACAAAAATATTTGTATTCCATTACACTTTCAAACCAAACTGCTGATAAACTGTTCGATATCTTTTTTACAGACCAGAATGAAATGTTATTAATTATAGAATTACTGAATTGAATTATGGAATGATTCTATGAAAATGAAAGGCTCTACAGTGTATAGCTTATCAATTGTTTCAGCTTGTTCACATTCTGTAATAAAATAATTTTTAAAAGTGTGTACTACTTTATCCTCATAAAATACTGTATTATAAAAGGCAGAGACACTGAATTTTGAAGATTTGCACCAATGAGATGGTAACTGTACGTCTGTGGTTACAATTAAGTAATGACAAAATGTGTTTCACAGATGCTTTGGATCCTCTGCAAAAAGGGGGAAAGACGAATAATCAACAATATCAAATGTTGGCAAACCAATTCCATATGCTCTTAATTATAATACGATGTACACACAAGGCCAGTAAAACAAAAGCTGCATTTAGACTTGTTCCAATGTCACAAAGTAAACCTGAATAAAAGCCAGAAGTATTGCAGCATAAGAGTCTTTTTAAAGTTTTTTTGTCAACGTCTCAACCCTATCTTAACTACATTGCGAAAATACTATAAATAGACTACCGGAACAAATCACAAGCATAATTATGATGGTGTCTACTGTACATCTAGCAGGATTATATGTTCTATATATACTACAGAGAAATCAAAACAAAACTGTATAGGGATGATGAGACTTTGCAACAAGGGGAAATCTTCCTAAAACAGACCACAAAAAGAAAGAATTCACTCACATCGAAACCTATTAAGCCCGTCAAAGTAAAATGCAGCCAAGGATATGTTCTGAAGAAATTTAACTGCAAAATTTTCATATCAAGCAAACACAAACTGCTTATATCATTTCATATATTAAGGATTTTACAACTGCTTAGTCTAAAATTTAGTTTTTATTTAATAAAAATCAAGTTAACATCTCGTGAATTAGCTTCTGTCATAGTGCATTAATACTATAGAAACTCCCCAAATAATAATAATAATAATAATAAATTATAATTAATAATTGCTTACACTTATGTAGCGCTTTTCTGGGAACTCCACTCAAAGCGCTTTAAAGGTAATGGTGACCCTATCATATGGGGCTACAGTCCCACATGTTGCCATTGCAAAACTACAATTATATATCGCATCAAATGGGTTGTTGACTTAATTGCAGCATTTTCACAGATTTCCCCAATTCTTCAGGTGTTGCTCATTTATTGAGATATACACATGAGAAATGCAGCCTTCCAGGGGTAGAGTTGGGACCCCTGCTTTAGATTCATTCCAGAGTTGTTTTGCCACTGCTGTGGTATTTGCAGACATCTGGGATATCAATCTACACACACATTCCCTGTATACAGACCAACACACCCGTCCCAGTTTCAGGCACTCCATTGCTCCCCATGTACAACATACACCTAATACTAAGCCATCACACTTAACAACATTAACAGATCTATTTTAAAAGTTTAGAAAATGGTATCAAGTTAATTGGATCAATTGCTGAAAATGTATTGTGGGATTGCATTAAGGACTTAGATAAAGGAAAAAGATGACTTGATGAAAAGGTTTATGTGGGAACATGTGGGCTATGATCAACACAAGGCAAAAACAGTTGCTTGTCACTACATAGCAAAATATTGCATTTATAAATTTGATCTCAGATTCTGTGCTCTTGATTGTTTAAAACCTTATATAGCTACCTTTATACCTATAGGAGTAAGTAAAAATATTTATTATAATAAATCACTTATATGCTATCTTTTTGTGGAATTTATAACTGTAAGTGAACTATGAATGCACTGTTTTATTTAAACTGTTCTTATTTTGCTCAAGAAGCTAATTCAAAAGAAAGAGGCAGGTGGTGCCACTTTGTTATGTTCACTTGGTGGACAAATTTCTACTGTTCCCTGTAACACCTTCTGTATCTTAGTTTCTTGCATACAATACCGTTTCTTAAAAGGTACAGATTTGTTACTTGCCCTTTCTGTCTATGAAATAAGTGTGATTGATATATATGTAGTTATATTCAGGTCACAGCATCTATGAATACTTTTTCTTGAAACCAAAAAATCTTTTCTTTCAGGCTGAAATGATGCCCATCTGACCATGCTAAAACATACGGATTTAATATTATCTACAGTATGTCTTCATAGCAAAAAAAACAAATGTTCCTTTCCACAAAAACCAAAAGGTTTTAACTTGCCAATGAACATTTTTCTTTATATGTTCAATAAAGAAATCCTGGCATCAAGATACTACAGTGTCATTTTTTTTCTCTGAAGTTTAGAGCAGGGTGGTCCAGGTCTGGTCTTGGAAGATAGTCTGTCTGCATAGTTTCTTGGTCTCTTTACAGGAGTAGCACCTGAAGAGCTCCAATTAAGTTTCAATTAAGGCAGAAACAAGCTGAGTTGGAATGCAAACAGCAGACACACCAGTCGGCACCCTGGACCACCCTGGCTTAGAAAACCCTACATAGAAAATGCATTATCAGTCGTTCATCTGAAAAAAACAATGATGCATTGTATTTGTTTGGAATATTTGTTAAATTTGTTTATACTAGCCCAGAATTATATCAGACTGTACCAGGAAAATTCCTTTGTGTCTCAATTCCTTCATCCATGCTTTCAGTTAGTTATCACCCCTGGAGCAGAATCACCCAATACAAATGTAATTAATCACATAACAGTGTAATGCATCAGGCAGAAACAGGAGCACTGCTGATTTAATTTCTATTCACTCTCAGGAAGCATGATGTAAGTGAAGACCTATCTGGACAACAGTTAGCAGGTTTTGCAATAGCTGAAGTAGCACCAGCACTCCAATAAAGAATCAGCAGTCATCATCTAAAAATGATTTCAGAAACTGTGAAACCATAGCTGTGGAACTCTTATTTTATACCCAGGGTATATCTTGCTGTTTACAACATGTTTTGCAAACAGTTCCAAAGAAGATAGAAAGCTACTGTTATAATAACAACAACAACAACAACAACATGATAACATCACTTTATTAACCCTTTACAATTTCTTGCATTAGAAATGATCTTTTCGCATACCCCAGCTTGCTCTCCATGAGACACACAGACAGGGAGAGAGCCTGGGGTCAGAGCGCAGGGTCTGCCATTGTACTGCACCCCTGGAGCAGTTGAGGTTAAGGGCCTTGCTCAGGAGCCAACAGAGTAGGATTTCTCTGCCAGCTGCAGGATTTTAACCGCAACCTTCTAGCCACAGGGGCAGATCCTTAGCCACAGAGCCACCGCTCCGCCCCAATTATAACACATAGAAAGAAGACATGGAGATATTAAATGGTCTGTACCCACTTCTTTAGACATAAGAGCCCCTCTAACACCAATATGAAGAGCAATGTAACACTCAACGCCAAAGGAAACAAAGGGTTCCAACAGTACAGCTCCCAGGAAACTACTGTATTTTTAGAGCTTAGTCTCACTCTCCAATCTTCTAATCTGACAACATCTTCATAAAATCAGCTCTTCATCAAGGCCACAATAGAAAGAAGAATGTTGCTTAAAGATGACAAATTTATAATTTGCATATAGTGGAAATTATATTAAAAATATTTAATGTCTACATTAGAGAGTGAAGATAGCATATACTGTAGATATAATTTTTTTCAAATTTTCTAACCTGCGCTTTTAGTCTTCCAACACCTAGAGTTCAGCATTCTTCTAAGTTTATCTTTCATCTCAATTAGTCATTCGGGAATTACATACAACTTGTGTGTGTAAGCAAGCAGATTAACAGCAATGTAAATGGCTATTCACACATCTGTTTCAACAGTACTACAGACAATTTGGCAATAAATTAGTGATCATCAGAAACATGTACTTAATATCAAAAGAACAGCTTTCTTTGAAGAGGTGAAAAACAGAAATCAGAAAACAGATGTCATAACATTAAACTGTAGTAGCCTCTATAAGAATGTAAAAAAAGAAATATCAGTTTACATGGAGGACACAAA